TTCAAGCCAGGGGCTAGAAAAAGCAGAACACTTTAGACCATACAGTAGAAATCCAGGATAAATGAATTTAGTATATACCCCCTTCTTCTCTCTGTTTGTCATATTAAGTTATACTGTGGAGGAACATGTCCAGTCTTAAGAACACAAGAGTAGACTGACAGTAGCTTTGGCAGAAAGAACATGCAACAAGGACATTATAAATCATTTGCAATGAGCTATATTAGTTTCCTCTAATCTAAGAGTTCTCAGACTAGGCACCATAATCAAAACTAGAGTAAGAGTCCTGTGGATGACAGGACACAAGGAAACACACAACTCCTGTTTAAGGAGGATTTACGTGAATCAGATTACTAACACAGAACTTATCCCTGGTCAGAAGTTCGGCAGAAGTCAAGTTGACAGTTGGAAAGAAGTTGGAAATGGAAAAGAAGTAGAAATGGAACTGTAGTTAGATCAGATTTGAATACAACCTTAGCATTGCTAAATACCAAGAACTGATTAATCCTTTTCAGTGGTGAAAATGCCACTTGTCCTAAAATTAGAGCTACATGATTACTGAAAAAACAAGGGGGAAATACAACATACTCCAGTTTTTGGAAAGTTATCTTCAGATTTTAGCACTGCATTGCACTGGGGGAGAGCATAGGAGAAAGAAGGGAAGAGGCTGTGAGAAAACACAGCAAAGGCCAAACCACAGACAATTCAAATCATAGGTGAATTAGGCTTTATAAAAATATAACAAAGGCATAACAGTAAAATAAAAATATCCCAACAAACATTACTCAATGTGGAACACTGAGATCTCTGAGCTAGAGTTTACATGAACTTACCAGTTGGTAAACCTATTTATTGCAGCTGCATTTGACTGGTTATTATGCTTTTAAGCCCAAGCTGACCTACAAATTCTACGGGGTTTCTGAACCTATAATCTACCAACAGATAATCAGGAATTGATACTTTTTTTTAGGGAGGTGGAGAGCTGAGTTGATGCATACATCAGTGTATGAAGTGCCAGAACTACTGTCTCCTGAAGCACGTAGAAAAGGTGCCTCTCCCCACGAAAAGCAGCATGTTTCCTATAACTTAACTGTAAGGGTTCCCATAACTTAGCTGTAAGGTTTAATTGACTACTGTGTTTCACATTAACACCAAAACTTGCCACAGAGGACTGGCAGACAAATAAAAGATTTCTGTCAGATGTAGTGCCTGAAGCAAACACTGAACTTTCTGCTTCAAATAACCCTAGCATCTGTGTATCTACCACTGAGAAAATGAATAGTCAGTCTTGGGTCACATAAAGGGGAAAAAAAAATAGAGAAAGTCCCATGTCACCATTCTACAGCACTTGAACCTGATACTTTCTCTTCTACAGAAACAGATTCCAGATCTTAGGAGTGACAGAGAACACCACATTTAATTATTTTTTCTCTGATGAAAAAAGCAAAATCAAAAGCAAATAAACAAAAAATAACTTAGTGTGACTCAGTGGGTCTCTCTGAACGCACAACACGAATAAACTTGAAATTTAGATGATTCCAAGTGTATTTCAGAAAAAGGAGTTTGTCACAGATTTGTGGCTCCTTCCAGTTCTTCTCAAAATTTTCCAAAAACATACCTATTACCTCCACCTCTCTACTCAGATGGAAACTTACGGTATTTCACATCCTTTGGCTGTGGCTAGGGTAGTCCATCTCCTTATTGCAGCTTCTCATCATGTTTAACTTGACTTCAGCACTTTTTTGGGCTTTTTTTTGATATGTCTTGACAGTAGTTAATGCACTTGACTATACAGCTTCCATGCAGAAAAAACACTGTTTAATGTAAATAGCAGAACTGCAGTAAAGCAAAAGAAATAATATTTCAAAGAGAATAGAGTCCATATGTGTTTACTTCTCTCAATGCCTCACTCCAAGGGATGAAAGAAAATCCTAAATTCTTAGGGGTCTTCTCTTACGATCTTACAGAAGGTGCCTCAGCCAGCGTGTTTTGCTAAAACAGTAAGCTTGGACAACTGCCTCTCTCAGAGAGTTCCAGAGAGTAATTTTTAAAATTTGCTAATGGCCTTTTGGTTGTCTGTTTTTCACCCTCAGCAAAATGAATCCTGTAACTTTGGCAGGTGGCTGAAAATAGTGTCTTCACATCTGATCTAGGCCATGAGATACTTTATCTTCATCTATTTTATCACTTTTCTGGCATGCTTCTTAGATTGTATATAGTTAATTAATCTAGCACTTACACACGTCATGGGCTTAAAATCAGAGTCATTGACAGATTAATGCATATTGTACAGACCTACTATGTGGAGCTGCAACTCCAAAGGTTTCAAGACAAGTGAACGCTGCTGCGCTTGCACAAATCAGCTGCATCCTTATGCACAGTGTCTCCGATACATCCCATACCAGAAATAATGAGAATGAAGTGTCTGAAATGCCTGACGCATTACATCTTGTTCACAAATTCAGGAAATTCTGTTGATTCAGTGATGATTCAACAGTATAGCTGACCATGCCAATCGGAAGCTGGTTAGGTAGAAAGCCTGGCTCCTGAAAAAGTAAATGGCTGGCTCCTAGTTTAGGTGCGCTAAATTGCCATGGGATCCATTCACTATATTAGATGCACATTATTAATCGGTATAATGGCACCACAGCATCTACCATGCCCAACAGAGTTGTGAATTAGTATTTTCTGATCAATTTTCTGATTGTATGGGATTAACCCTAACCAGCTACTAAGACACGACAATGCAGATTATAAAAGAATCTCACCACTCTGCACTGAACTAAAGCCACACAAAATTGTGCTTCCTCCACATCTCAGCAGAATTTGAAAAGGGAAGAATATAAACTGAGTATATTGGTTTGCAAGGAATATTTATTTTCACTGGCTATCTAACTAATGAAAAATACGGATAAGTCTAACTTCATACGTAATGCAAAGGTACATATTCTCACGAACTCCAAATCAGTGGAAAAGTCAACACAAAAACTGGGTATCGAAAACAGTCTGTGTTCATTCCGCCCATGTTTTAGATATCCTCCCAATCATGCAGTCATTAGATTTCATTAGACAGATGAACAGTTTAGTTTGATATAAGTGAGTATATATAAAGGTAAGAAAATATGTTTATTAAAAGATAACTTCAATTGTCTGAAAGCTTAATTTTGATCTACTTATCATACTACCTTTTTTAGCAATATGTCCATATATTTAAATGTGAAGCACTTTTTTTGTGAAATAAGTAGTAGAAAAATGAGGATGGATAATAAATAAACATATAAAACTAAGCTCTTAACGTTCATATAAGTAAGTCACATACATACATACATACATACATAGCTGCTAATGCTCAGCAAACAATAAGAACCTTTTTCAAAATATTTCCTTTAAAGCAGTTGTCTACATTTAAATTTTAAGCCTTAGGGAAAAAATAAAGCAGTAACACTTTTACTGTGTAACATTCTCATCAAGCATGGATGAGCACTTCACTTCTGATAAGAGACTATGCATCAAGAATTTACAGTTTGAAGATACTAGCAGATTAAGGGACAAAGACAAAATCATGTTCAAAAAGATGCTGATTAAAAAATATAAATAACCCCCCACCACAAAATTAAAAGTAGATTTTAAAATGAGTATTAGTCTTCATATGTTATTAAAGATACGGATTTTTCTGCAGTCCTATTTTACCTCTACATTTTTCTGCCAGTCTAAATCTAGTCTTTATACTTTTTCAGATCAGATAAATAAAGTACTCTCACGTAAGCAAAAGGGAATCAGATCAAATAAAATAAAGCATGACAGATAAAGGCAGAGCTAGCTCATAAAAATAAAAAAAATAGGAAAACAATTCACTTTTCATCACGATGCATAGTGTATGGATGGCAGGGGGAGATGACAAACAAATATTAGTATAGTAAGCTGGAAAAAGCAGTAAGATTAAAATCGCTTGCATTTTACTTTAGGGTACAAAATCATTATATATAACTTGCTAGTGCAAGATGTGCCATAGTTAAAAACAAAGCAGAGCAGAAAGCAACAATCCTGTTTTAGAAAAAGAAAGTAAAAAAAAAATTCACTATGCTATAGAATGACATTTTTTCATAATTAAAACACTGTAGAGAAAGACACACACACATTTTGAGCCACACACAACAAATCAACTTCAAGCTGTTAATCTGCAGGACACGAAAATACTCTAGTGATATCAATCTTGATATACATCTTATGAGTTAAGCAATAACTCCTATCAATAAGATACTGCTGAGAAATTTTTCTTGCTACCTTTTTTAGAATGTAAGGTCTATTTGATCTGTGGTTTTGCTTATGAACACCAGCTGTACTTTTGTAAATATGGGCAAGTTATGAAATGCAGTAAAAAGACATGAAATAGAAGCAAAATCAGACTTGCACAGATCTTTAAAACTGATGTGAGGATGGAAATGGCAGTGAGGATTAAAACATCAGGCAGAAAAAAAGTTAGTCTTTTATTGGGTTCACTCCGTTTTATGGGATTTCTGTATACTCCTGCTTATGATTATATTAGAGTTGAAATCATGCATCAGGAACATCTGAGAAGAATAATATCTACTGTAATTGAAGTAATTCCATTCATACTGTATGACAAGCCTTTTCCATGATCCAGAATTCATTTGTTCTACATCAGCATTACTCAGATATATCCCACACTAGCATTTAAGTACAGTGAGACCCATAAAACTTAAGATGGACAATTCAATGAATGACAGCTAAATAAAGAGCAGAGGCAGTGAATGTCTCCAGCTGGGAGATGACAAGCTTTAAGCCCCTTTAGGTATATTAATGTTTATTTTGAACGCTGAGCTGAATATATTGAAAAGTAATTCTCAACAGATGGAAGTGTATGGATAAGTCACATATTCTGCCTTTTTTACCTCATAATGAGGGGCTGATCTAACTTATCAGGCAGCTTCTCAAAAATGACTGATTTTTTCTTCTTGTTGCTGCTTCTCCTTAGCTCTTACCTTCCAGACTCAAATGTGAACCACGTTGAGTCACGCCCGTATCTCCTCAAAGAGCTCAGAGGCCACATGACCAGCTTGACTTTGGCATTGTGGATGTCCCAGAGATAGATGTTCTCATGTGTGATCTGCATTGTACATTCCCCATAGATGTCTAGATTTGGTGTGGGCATGAGATACACATTGAATCGCTCTAGAAGAAAAAAGCAGAATAAGGCATATCCAATTAAAATAAAATGTGAACTTGCAAAACCATCAAAAACAAATCTTAAGTTACTAAAGGTTCAGAAATGAAGGCCAAACTTCTAGCCTGTGAAAACTGCTAAGGATTCACTGATGCCCAAAAAGCCTTTGTCAGTGTATGAAAGGGGTCTGAGAATCCTTCTTGTTTCATTTTCAGTATAAAGAACACAGCAGATGATTGAAACATCTTTCACAGATGATTTTCAAAGTCCTTTAACTTTGTCATGCATCCCCAGCAACTTAATTCAAAGCCTTTATCCTCACACTGAAGTTCACTATTCTTCACACAAAAATATCATAATGATTTAAACTGTTAGAAGTTCCTTTCTCAAAGAATAGAGCAGGCATATTGGCACGTATGTATAACTATTTTACCTTACAAAAATTTGCCTTGTATTTGCAAACCCAGAGTTACCTACCTAAGGCTGCAAATAATTACCTTCTTTGTGTCAAACTCCTATTTATGTACCAAAATTGGTAACATTCATAAAATTTTTCACCATCTGTTGCTTTCTTAAAATATTTGATTGAGCACAAGATACTATTAAGGCTACAACAACAATTGTTATTAGCTGCACTTCCACTTCATAGTACGCTTACTGAAACAATAGGTCAAGGCAAAAACAGTCTGAAGTTTGAACATGAGCAATGCTAATTCTATGAGCAGGGTCCTGGAAATATGTACTTTAAAGGGAAGCCTGATAAGAAAATTGTGTCCATATACTTCGTAAGTGAATGACAGTTTGGTGCGGAAAATCTTTAATCTAATATTTCCACTAAATTTCCTCAAAATTATGAAGGAATTCAAAGCAATCATATGAGGTATAAAGTGAAAGAAATTTAATGTTAACAGGCAAAAGGAGATTCAGCTTCCAGTTGCGTTTGACAGTCATTGTCTCAGACATGATATCTTCGGTTTTTTTAATATTTGTTAAATATACTTTTTTTGACACATCACTTAAAATGCTGCAAATAAGTGAGTTAACATAAAATATGCAAGAAGTGTGTGTGTGTAGAAAGTAATAAAAGTTTGGTTGAGGAATTAAAGGAACCTGGGAACTGCTGGGCGAGCAGTAAGATTTGCAATCCTGTATAGCTATAAGTAAACTTGCCGTCCCCAATGTTATTCTGTTTCAGTCCATTTAATTTTGTCCCATTAATGATTCCCCAATTGATTCACTCAATCTCATGGCCATTCAACCTTTTCTCGCAGGCTCTTGTTCTCATTAATCACACTAACGGGTGCTAGTCCTAAAAGCTGAATTTTACGATTAAGATCCCGTGTGTGTGAAACTCCTAATGTTTTGTAAAAGTGTTCTGATGCACAGCACAAATAACTTAGCAGGTGCTGCTGAAATTGCTGACAAGAATTTCCCCTAACTCTTGGAGGAATGTGTTGGGCACAGGTCTCACCTAATGCTTGCTAAAATCAACAGAAGGACTTGCATATGGAAGCATCGGGCAAGGACAGCATCATGAAGGGAATGGTGTACAACAAGGCAATCTACACTTTGCATAAGAATTATATATATTTGCCCTTTTTCTGTGCTTAAATGTGTAGTACTGAGCTATACAAAAATGCCTAGGAGCTGTGGAGATGTGCTTTTGTTATATGTTAGGCTTCAATTTTGCATTATCATGCTGTAACCTCCCAGACTATCCTCCCTCTGTTTCAAAGACGGAGACGACCAGCCTATCTGCAGGTTCTCTTGCCAACCCCTTTCACATAGCCCCTTTTGGCTATGTGAAATCACACAATGCGTGATACATAGCAAGTAGGACTGTCCAGTTCCCAAAGTCTTCCCGTTATCGTGTCTTCACTGACAGAGTGCCTCAGAGAGCAGAGAAAATGGAAAAGTGCAATTATTTTCTGTAGCAGACATTAAACTCTCATGTTGAAGACATGGAAAATTTCAATTTGTTTTAAAAGTTACCAGAGCACTCACAAACCTCTCAAATTCTCAGAAGTGTCTGAGGATATTATTGCATGAAGGATATTCAGGATATTTGATATACTCAAAATGTCAGGAGACATTTGTTGACTTTGAACGGGATGGAGGTCAGTGTCTAAGGTGAGGTGTCATGGATTAAAAAAAGCATATCCGATTAAATTGAGCATCAGCTGCTAGGCAAAATGTAGAACCATTGGAATTTATTCAAATTGGTAATCAAAGAAAGTGCACAAATGTATTTGCAGGGAGAGACTGAATATGGATTTATTTGCTTCTGAAACTAAAATTTACCAAAACCTTTGAGTAACAAGAAGTCAAGGACATAGGAAAGGTGCACTGCTAAATTATGTTAAGAATTAAAATGTGGGGTCCAATTTGTCCATTTCAGAAAATATTTGAATAGGTATCTAGATAACAATAATACAATCATTAAGCTCTCAGAGGCAAGTTTTGCCCTTAAACTCATGCTGGCAAGAGAGATATTTGTAGACTAGATTTGGGGTGTCTAGAGTCCATCCTCAGCTGAATTCAGTGCCCAGATCTCCAATATTTAGCTTCTCTGTGCGTCAGTCACCACCTGCATATGCGTGACAAGGGCTAATAGTAGGTTGCTGGGTAATAAGATTAACTAAATAAAAGTTAATGTAGGATGCAGAAAATATGGAAATGGAAGAAACCAACAAGTAGCTACTACCCTGTTGAACAAGAGAAAGCTGAGAGTGAGAAGGTACAATTCCTCAGCATTCAGCATCAGAAGTTTCTTCCCTCCTTTAAAATAGATGAAAGCAAAGTTAAAAAAAAGGGGAGCCAGGATGAGAAAAAAAAATGCTGTTTTACTGCCACACCTATTATTCCGCTGTTTTTAGTGCAAGTGCTCTTTCACAACTCCTTCAGTAAGCAGAGTAAAGCTTCATGATATACTTGGGCTATGTAAAGGTGTTTAGCATTTAGGCTTTGGCAAGTAGATGACCTTTAAAAACGGTGTTCAGAGCTCAGAAGCAGAAGAGGCTTTGTTAAACTGAGCAGATTGACTGAGACGGAGACTTGGCAGCAACGATGAAATGCTTGCAGTCTTTCAGTCGGATGTGCAGCTGTACTGGGGAAGCAAAACGACCGTGAGGCCTAATGATCCCGGTTCTAATCGTTTTATCACTGGATTCCTTTGGCTAAATCATCCCAGTTGGAAAACTAAATAGATAACCCCTGCAATCCTGTAATCCAGATGCTTCTTTTCATTTCAGCTTTAACGTCAGGGAAAGTACATATGGAAGGAGGCAGTCAGGTTGTGGGATCTATATAAGAATAGGCTTTAAAAGCACACATTTAGTTTCCATCTGGAATACACCCATTCTCCATCTATGAACCTTTTGCTGCTGATAATGCGTAACTAATTTCCAGGTGGAAAGAGAGCTCTACGTCTCTAAGTCGCAGCATCTTCTGTTCTTTCATACTTCAGGTCTATTAGTATGATTCTCTCCCACTTTTCCTTCCGAGGAAGGAACCTGCCCTTTAGAATCACTTGTCTCTCTCTCTTTTTTTTATTTTATATTATTCTACTTTGCATCTATTATAAATGTGTGGAAAGGTTTATTAACTTCTTAAAAAAATACCAAGGCTACTGTACATTGATTCACTGATATGTAAGGTAGAGAAGAATCTGAAAACTCACTGGATTAACCAGCCACTGAAAACTATAAATCCCATTCTTTTCTGAAAAAGCTGGATGTGTTTACTTTATTCTTCAAAAATAAAACTATAAAAATAGATTAATAATAGCAGAAAATGAATGTAAAATGCAAAATTATTGTACGTAGTGAACCACAAACAGGGATTCAACAGACCTTAGAAAATACCCTAAAATAAGTCAGCTGTGTGTAGCTTAACTATGAAGTGCCTACACTTTGACTGTAGCTTGTAATCTCCCTATATACCATAAGGAAATAACTCATAATCCTCTTCTGACCATTCAAGGATGTTTTTCAGTATAGGACGGTACATTTTTATCAAGAAAAATTAACGAGTTTCTTGCTATTCAAACACAGGAAGTAAGACTGCTGTACTGTCGTATCCTTTAAATAAAGAAAGGGAGGCAGCACAATAGTTATCATGAAAAAAAGAGAGACCTTTACAAAGGAAGTAATTTTATGAGGTATTAACAGTGATCTTAGGCAGGGAGTAAACGAAGTAAAAAATTAATCATCTTGTCAAACTTGTACAAACTTCTAAAAACAAAATTAGCCTTGTAACATAAATCAAAAGAAAAGTCAAAGCACCAGAAAGACATAATAGAAAACCATCATATTGACATCACAGACATGACACCAAACATTAACTGAGCTACAGCAGTAAAAGATGGAATGGGCCTTTTCTTCATGTCAAAAATGCGCATTTTTACCCTTGCCTATTTTCTTCCGTTTACATCATTATTACAAGTAAAATTCAATAGAATCTGATTTTAGTACAAGTATTCAGTTATTTTAGTAATCACATTTAGTATTCGTAATAGATAGGAATAATGTCTTTGTCAAAAAGGAGCACTGGCTCTTAAAGAATCACTTTAGTAGTATCTTCTGCAAATAACACTTTTTCAGTCAATATTGTCTTGAAAATTCTCGCTTCTTTTCCACAGTAAAAATAGTCTCCCATTATCCATTCTTTCCTATTATTTCCTTTTATAAAGCAGGAAAATATAGTGTTACATCAGAAGACATTTTGATTAAATCATTACCATACACAGATTCTATAAGCAATGACAGCCAGGCAGATAAAAATATTCAAAAAATAGATTTGTTCCTGTTGTTAGGTTTGGGGTGCACTACTACAATTGCTTCCAAATGCAGAGATCATCAAAGGAAGTTTCCACATCTTTCAGATGAATGCTCTACATGAATGCTCTTTTTCCCTAGCAGCAGCTTGGGAAACCTAAGGACTACGAACAGTATGTGTAAGGGTCTGAGGATATTGCTTAGAAGGCTGCTTGTCAACAATGTTATCAGATACAATCGAGTCCAGATTTTCTTTCCAAGAGTTATTATTATGCATCATTATTTGCAATGCCATTATATCTAGAGTTCCAGTGCCATTATGCTAAATTCATTATCTAAAGAGGATCATGTAGTCTTTACTGCTTTTGATTTAATGCTATATCTTCATTCTATACAAAATAATCTAATTGGACTTTCATTAACAGCCTGTTTTACTGTTATAGGGCTGAGGAACACCTGTAAGTCACATGGATTTGCAGGAGAGAGACAGTAAAATGGTCGGGAGCACAAGGGAAGCTTCACTGAGACCTGTTTTATGAGAAACTGCATTTCCTTGTAAACTACGTAGCTATTAGCTATGAGTCTCTTATATATAAAGAAAATCATGTAAGGGTCATTTCCCACACTGGAGTTAACACAGTAACAGTTGCAGTAATGCTTCTTACAGTAACAGAGATGGAGTACAGTGAGAGGCTTTCAGCTGCTGAGGAGCTTCGCATGAGAACAAAAGTCTCTCAGGAGCCTCCTTTGCTCCTCCTGCAAGTCACAACACTTGCAGCCACAAGCCCCTGCCACAGTGCACATCCATAATTTGGCTTCTTTAGCTATTACCACTGCAGGATTGCTTGGTGCTAGAGGATCACACAGTGGTGCCACCATAACAGAAAGGATCTCCTGGGCACCTGTAGAACAGCTCAAAACTACAAGAGCTGCACTGACATAAATTTGTTCCTCATACAACAGGAATACCTGATTAATGTACTTGAGGCCTTTTAGCCATGACATTTGTACACCAAAAACCAATTTTACCAGTCTCTGGATGAAATTGTTTTGCAAAATGTATTGTCACATTCATGTAGCAAAGAATCAAGTGTGTTCCCTTCTGAAATCAAAAGCTCATCTCACGGGGGTCATTTGAGTGAGAGTGGGAAAATAAACACAACAAAAATATGCTAGACAAATCACAGAAAACATGCCTCTTTTTCTTGCCAAATATTTTCTGAAACCTGAGTCCTTGGGTGTAAAAATTATAAGCCACATGTGGCAATGAGTTTTTATGGTCCCGAGGCATTTACGATATCAATTAAGAAATTTATTACAAACCTTCAAAACTAAATGCTCTCGTTAGAGACAGGCATATCCAGGGACTAAAACAAACGTACAGCAGATGACCTACTCTCTTTTGCCAAGAGATTCTCAATTTATCTGATCGCTTCAATGACTACTCTTAGAAGTACATGCCACAGAAATACACGCTAGGCAAGTGCCTTCTAATGATAGGAACAGGTAAAAACAGGGACAGATGAAGAAAGTAGCATATTAAAAATATTACTGGTAGGAAAGAGGGAAACAAAACAAAACAGAACAAAACATTAGGCTAGTTCTTTTATTATCAAGAAGTATCTTTACCAAATGATAAAAGTTTCAGATGATCTTTATCAACAATCATTTGAAAAAGGCAGTGGGATTATGCCCGCTGTGTTGGGATTAATGGTATTAACACCCTGCCATATCACGTAGATATTAGCATTTTGTTGTAATGCCACATTTCAACTAGTTTTAGCTCTTAAAATGTCAAAAAAACAGCTAAAATTCTAAAAATACTGGAACCATCATCTCTATCAGAATACAATCTGTGGTCTTGCTCAGGGGCTAAGAAGCTTCTTTTTTGTTCACTCCTGAAGGAGAGCCAGCCCTAGCACAATGCAGGGAACAGAACATGCATGAAACTAAGATATTGAGACCTTTGGATTTGATTCCTGGCTTTGCAAGCAGCATTTACTATGTATTCTTGCATTACTTTTTTCCAGTAGATGCTAATATATAGACTAATTCAAAAGGATTTCCATGACGTTGACTAACATTTGCAATATGTTTTGAAATAATGACAGTATAAGGTACTATATCAATGAACAGCTATCTAACCCCCCAAAATCACTTTATGAGTGACACAGCTGCCATTTTCACAGTGAGCAAGGATTTAACATTTCTTACACATACTCACTTTTCATGGGTTTCAAATTGGAAATTCAAACTTCGACCCTTCATTTTCAGGTCAACGAAAGGTCAGTAGTCTTTTCAAGGGGTTTTAAGTATCTTTTGAACTAGTCCTTGATAACATGCACTTATGAGCTACAATATTGAAAATGTGCAGAAAAATAAATTTAACATCTGATATCTTTATCACGGCTCACCAAATGTTTCCACCCTCAAATACACATCTTTTCCATAAAAACGTCACGTGTGGAATAAGATTGCCAAGTTTACAGGAACAAAGATAGACCAAAGTCACATTCCGTTCCACTGACTTTACCCCAGAAAACTGCTAAAGAAATCTGAGTGCAAGTGCAGGTTCTGACAGCACAGCTAAATTAATGAAAATGCTAGATTCCAGCCCAGTAATAAGAATCTCCGTACTCTCACCTCCTTCCAAGTTGATTAAAAAAACCAAAATCAGAATTTGCTTTTCTTCTAGAACTAAAAAAAAAAGACAACTTTGAATTTCAGACATGCTTATTAAAATGCAGAGTTGTGCATCAAGGGGATGAGCAAAGGAAGGTATCAGAATTACTTGTATGAGATACTGTAACTAATGATCTAGAAGAAAGTATTCTTCAAATATTGGATTCTATTCAGCCACTTAGCTTAAAAAAGGTTGCTAATCATATCCCTCCATGCAGTCTTATTCATGTGATTTGCACAAAAACACATGCTTTGCTTGTTTCTTTACATTTATTTACTTAGAACAATAAAGATGCTAATTATGTTCATATATGTTAATGTTTTTACAGTTGTTAGCACTGCAATTAATTTCTACATCAATGCAATTGAATCGAGACTGGTTCAAGCAACAGGACTCATCTATGTCTTTTGGAGACCTTTTATATGACTGGATCTTTTTCTGTCAAGACTAAGATGAAATGTAATATTTGCCATCTAAATCCCAAAGCTGCTGGACACTAAATGATTTCACCACAGAAACAGCTTGAGGAATTTCAAACTATTTTTCTGTTCACATCACAAGCTTTTGACAAGATTTATTTCCTTTCCCATTTGTGAAGGAACTCCACCTGGTCACAGATTTCTCTCATTAACAGTACATATATGAGTTTACACCTATAGCCTATGTACATATAGTGGATAGGATGCTTTGAGTTGTATCTGATCATTATCACTCTCCCACAACATTAGTAGCTGTAATTTGTACTGTAGTTTGAGACATATGTAAAGTTAAACCAGGTTACACATTAAATCTAGGGTCATAGCAAGCAAAAAATTTTACAAACATTGGAACTTTTTAAAAATCACACTTGAATAATATCTATCTGATCTGTGAACAAAATTTCTTAAATATTTCTGTATATTTCATGCTATTAGTTTCAGAGGTGTCTGGGCTCTTGTAAGAAATTAATACAATATAATTTACATAGTGCTATTTGTTCTATAATTTAATTATGTAATTTTATTTATAATGATAGCTTGATATTTTATAACAACTGAGGCAATTTATTTTATTACTTTGTTAAAAGATATTAGATTTTATAAAAGCATCAAGATATTAATAATCACAGAGTGCTGTAATTTAGGAGGGAAGCAATGAGCACATTTTCTGTTGCCTTCATGTTCATTAATAGGAATTAAATGACAGCATAATCGCAGATTTTGTTTTGTTATTGCATATTTCATCCACTAGCATTGTTCCTGTATGTGTTTAACCAAAAGTTCTGTACAAAATAGCCTTTATATGAAGACTTAAAGCTCAGGCTTATGCTGCCTAGCATCTGCTGTTGCATTTTTCACCTGTATTTGATGACATTTAGTTGACCTACAATTCATTGTTCAAGACACGCATGAGTTTAAAATAAAAATGCATTTTGCAATCCACAGCCTTGTTCAAATGTTCACCATTTTCTTTTAAAGGCTGTGGAATAACCACTACTGTTTTCTTCCTCTGCACAGAGGCCATTGTTTCCAGAGCCAGAAAGGTCACAGTCATCATTTCCCACGTCAAACGTGAACACAATGAACACACGAAGTCACTATGTTTGTGTTATGTGGCATAGAATTCAAACATCTTTATTTGCAGAAAATAAAATTGTTATTCTAATACACATCCAAATGCTCAGCTATTAATGAAGTACTTCTAGGTAATAGGAAAAATCCCCACAACAAGAAACATCAGCAAATACAGCATGGGACTTGGTTCACCTAAGAACTGATACAAGAGCAATTACAGTTACTTACCATTTTGTTCTCTCTGGACTCCAGCAGCAAGCAAGTCTGGTTCCCCAAGACTTATGTCATTGAGTCTGGTTCCTAGACACTCCATGCAGAGATGTTTGCACCATTCCTCTGCCTCTAGTTCTGGAAAAAAATAGAGAAAAACATCAGTGGAAACATTTTACTCAGAAAAGAAATGAAGTTAAAAAAAAAAACTGCTTACAGACTCGTTTTACGACAATTTGAAACATGAATTATTAACATGAAGTTCCACATCTATTTCTTTTCCTATAATTATGAACATTAAAAGGATTCACATTATAAGGATTGCATCTCCTGTATTTAAATTGGAGGGATAGAGGGTGGAGTTAAAAAAAAAAGGAGAGAGAGAGAGAGAGAGAGAGAGAGAGAGAGAGAGAGAGAGAGAGAAAGAACAAATAAGGTTTCAAGGCAGTATTTTTCTAGAAGAGTGGCTTGAAAGAAAAATGTAAATTAGAAAAAAAAATATAATCTCTGAAAAATTCTTTACTGTTCTTTACTATTATAAAAATAACATTTTAAAATACTTCTGAAATAGTTTTCTAGAAGTAAAAGCAACTAAAGTAATAACAAGAATTTTTAAATACAAAACTTTCTTCTTTGCTGTACTGAATGGCTACATCTGTTAAATTAGTCTGAACACTGAGCTCTGTTAGTTCTGTCCAACTTCTTTTGTCCTCAGAGCAATTTGGAACATTTGTATGAAAATTCAAGACCTCCTGGTCCAGAGTCTGCTGTTGCATCCCACTGATCTACATCTAAGAGCTCCCCAGCTGTCAGTCTACCAAGACATAAACTCACAAGACAGTACTACAGACCCACTCCACACCCAGACTTCATTTTCCAAATTTAACATCATGAAATCTCTGGAACTGGTCAAACAAACCACATTCCACATTGGCTTCCACATAGTGTGAAACCACAACTAATAAAATAATGCAGCTAGGCTGACTGTCTTTCATTACAGAGCAGGCTTCACCTAAGGGAAATTTTCTGGAGAGCAGGCTTGGCACCAGGCTCACGCTGAGCATCTACTGTCATAATCAGCCTAACTTTAGGATTCGATGACTAGAATGTCTCTATTAAACTGCCAGAGTATTTTTCATTCCTATTTTTGTGGACATCTGGAAAATACTTATGCAATAATTTCTTCAAAGTAGTGCTGAAATTCTGAGAGTAAGAAAACATCATGCATTCCTTGAAACATCTAGTGATGATGATTCACTGTAATTAGTAAAAATATATATCTGGGAAAAATCTTTCCCATGCGTAACTGGTACAGTCCTCAAATCCTCACCAGGTTAGGCACACATCGCAATGACAGAAATATCTGCCAGACAAGAATGGGTGACAGGCACAAAATTCCCAAATGTGCTATTCTATTTAAGGCCCTGTCTTTAAAGAGAGGGTTATTTTTGAGTCATTCCATTAAGCTTCTAGGCAAGCAGTCTGAAGGACAGAGTCAGTTCTGGGGTTTTTAAGAGCCAAATGTGGTTGTTTTCAAAGGGACATAGAGAATTTGAGAAGCTTCGTAAGAATGCTGCAACCAAAAAGGTCTCCCTTGACCCTTCCTGATTTTTTGCAGAGTCTTTGTCTCAGAACACACATCTCAAAATCTGTCTTCCCATAGCATCTTCAGTGTCAGAAGGCAAGAGAGAATTTTCTGTTAGCAATATCCAGATGACATTTAACATTGTATATGAGGAGAAAATACTGAGGTTATGGCGTACTGTTCCTTAAGAATTTTTCTACAGATACATCTCCTTGGTGAAAGAAAGAAGAGAAAAAGTAACTCTCTGGACAGCAACAAAAATGTAGGGCTTTTAATGAGAAGAAGATGAATTTGGTTAAAAGTCTACATCGAAATTCGCTTTCTGTTCATGCATGAAGAAAAGAAGATTCCCTCCTGCTCTCCCTTCCTCTCTGTCAGCTTTTGTCATTTTCTTGGGTATTTTTTAGGTCTGCTGCACCAGAGCCATGCCTATCAATCACAACCTTCCCTAGAGAGCACTTCATGCCAGGGGGATGATAGAAGGCGACTACAAGATATGCTGCCATATTCTGGTGGCAAAAGCAGGTGCTGGGGCCACACTGGTATATGGGTAAGCCAAACCTTCCAGGGAGGGTTGCACTGACTTGTCCAGCTACTGCTTCCAGCTGCAGATAAGCTTTGGAGAATCAGTGGGAAAAGGCTGGTAGCACAAGAGTGACAGTGCAAATCTAACCCAGTGGTCCTATGCTTCTTTCTCGTCCCTCTCATATTTTCTTTTCTGCCTATATGGTATAATAGAACAATATGAATGTTTGCAGAATGTGTAGTCCTACGATTTTTTTCATGGAAGATGATCAGGATGTAACTGTTTACATATTCTATAAAATACATATTTTATTACTTTATTTCACTGTACCCGCACCCAGACTGAAAGGGTACATTCTGGAAATGTAGAACGAGATGACAGTAAACATACACAAAACTACTCTTTCTAATTTTACAAATGTCTAAGGAGAAAGAAAAACATATCGGTGTTTCCATGAGTCTAGCTTAGCACTGATATGTATTCGAAACAGGGTTCTTACTTGAAAGCAACAAGTTCTATTTATATGCATTCTCACACCACGTTTCAAGTAGAATCATCACGAAAGAAAAAAAAGGTTTGTTCTTGGAAGTTATTTCTTGTGAGAGTCTTTTTCATCTCCTCAGGATTACAGGAACATCTAAACCTTGAAACTTTAGGTCCAGAAACCAACCACCTTTCAGGGTGTTTGAATTGGGCAGTTCAATTTAAGTTGCTGCTTCTTCACTGCACAACATTGATGATTAGATCCAGGTTAGATCATTCTCCAACTGCCACATGGAAGAAACTATCTTACAGTGATTATTATAAGATTACTCTGTATTTTGCAAAGTATAGGCTATACTATATGCATTGTACTGCTATATAACTCAAAATTTGTGTCTTGCAATAACTATCAACTGCACATTACAGAAAATATTGTTTCAATGAAGAACTGAAATATCTTCTGAAAGAACTGTGAGGATCTGTGTATGTTGGCAGAAGCATAAACATTAGCTGCAACCGTTTTTGAAAGGTCAAGAGTACGAGGGTAGCGTGTGAGTTAGTTTTACCTAACACATCCTGATAGCTCTTGCTTACTTGCAAGGGAATGCCTTAGACCTTTTCCTTGACATAAATGCGAAACCTCTTTTAGAAGCGGGCGAATTACTTTTTGTAATTAAAGTCATATTTCTCTTTTCATCACGTATATCCATAAGCAGTTCATAACTCCTTCGCAACCTGGCTAGAATGCTTTGTGGTTTTAGATATCAGATTTAATATTACTTATGATTTTTGAAATGTATTTATTATAATTTATAGTACATTAATAGATCAGTCACAGTAGCAATCTTTAAAGAAGAAATAACAGCTACCATGTCACCAAACAGATACCACAGTTACCTCTATTTTGATTAAATGCAAATATTGAAACAGACGAAATATTGCAGCAGAACCAAGTCATGAAAAAATGGTAGCATAATTCTTATATTTAATGCATGCAGATTAGATTTATTGATGGTAAATGTCACTGGATGTTTGGTCCATCAAATGTCAACTGAAAAAACTGACACTGAATAATTCAGTTTCATCTTAAGATAACTGAATTGTCAGACTGAGTGATAAACGGTAAAGCATGTTTGTACTGCTATAAATACAATTAAAATACTCGCATTTGCATCTGTCCTGCTATTCAGTTACAATATGCTGCTATACAAATATCATGAAAATACAAAATACGTAAAATATAAAGAGGTGGGAGACCTTAATTAGGCTCTGCATATTGCGTAAGAATTGCAGAAGAATTATCACTGGGAACAAATCTGTAAACTTCTTATCTGAAAATATACAGCCTGTTTGTGGCAATATTCCTTTGTATTTTACCTAGGCATCTAGGTCAGTGCATGAGGTTATGTGGCATTTTTACTTCAGTTCTCAGCTGAATAAACTCATGCCATTCCCCAACTGGTGGGAATGAATTCCCACCCCTGAAATGGCACATTGAGAACAGGTAATGCCAGAGGTTGATATTTGTTGATATAATCATAGTGATCAAATTATGTTAGCAAATCTTGTTAAAAACATAACTTGGTAATAGCAAAAGAGCTTTTCTTATGGTTTAAAACTGTTTAAACTTATGGTTTAAATCAGTTCATGCTCCACAACAAACTCTACAAGACGAGAGAGGGGACTGAGGAGGAGACCTTTTTTTTTTATGCCAGCCTTAGAGATCTTTGTATCAGAGTTATATTGGCTAAATGTGGGACTGTTTTCCGACTCCTAGCTTAGGAAACACTTAAAGTGTAGACTAAGAGTAATACCATATGACTCTCAATAACTTCATATTCTTTCATGTTTACCTGCTGGGGTCACATTATACAGCCAGAGAGGAACTGGTCATCATCCACTGCTAAGAACGGTCGATGTAGTTGAGCACCACTCTCCTGAGTAAAGCCCCAAATATATGAGGACTGTCTTGCTCTATTCAGTCTTTTTTTCCAAGTGACCTTCTCCGTGTTCAGTTCCCCAAGGCAGTGCCCTTAATTCCAGGACAAATGGTTCCATCGTGGCAATGGCAACACTCGCATGGGCAAAAAATGGCTCAATTCATACCCAGCTCTTAAGGTTAAAAACAAAGAGGAGGTCACTTGTCTCTCCCGCTTCTCATGCAGCCCACAGAAGGTAAAGTGGCCAAGGATTTAAGCTGAAAATAATACGCATGCAATATTACAAGGGATAACAAAAACTTTCCTTGTGCACATGTAAAAGTCTCATTTACTTTTTAAGCTTTCCCTAATGTCAAACTGTACAACTCTAAAATGTTATTGTCCTTGTCTTTGACATATCTCTACACGTTCTCTGCTGAACTGTTTGACCCCTCTTCCCCCTAAACTATAAGAAGTCCAAACCCAACTGAATACTCTTTCTCTGACTGAAACTGGAGAGAGAATTTTTCCTGTTTGGATTAGTAAAACCTAGATCTGAAAATCTCTGCCAAGGAGGATGGCTCAGGAAGGCCACACATGCCAATTTCTGTCTTCTAAAAAGTCA